CAATTTGTCAATGCGGAGTGTGACTTTCAAGTGGATTCATTCGCAAGTTCTCAACAGAGATCGAATTTTTTGAAAGATGGCACTAGTGCACCGCGCGAAGACTTTACACGTAGCGGACACCGGGCGGACATATATGTGTAGGAAAGGAAGAGGATGCGAAGATTCACGAGAGAGACGTGCTAGTCTATCCCTTCTTCCGATAATCAAATCCGCTCGATTTAGACAAACATCGGATCGACGGTTGGAAGAAGCAATTTGGCAAGTTCCGCAACTGCCATCTGGTTTGCGCAGTTCGCGAAGGCACCCCCAACCGTGTTGAAGTGAGTTTGACATCTCACCCCAATTTCTTGGTACGGAAGCCTCGCTCGGCTTTCGGCCATGTGGTCAAGATGTCAACCACCTCCTGTTGGTCGATTGAGACTCTACAGCCGCTTTCCTTTGACGAGAGAGGTGGCTTCCCCCGGCGCCACCTCGCCGAGAGGTGTCAACCAGCAAGTGCGAGCAGCCGAGCTCGAATCATCCACCGGACTGCTACTATTGCCGCCTTGTTGATGTCGACTGTCGGGGCCCGAGGCACTACCACGAGAACAGCACCAGGTGAAACTCTACTCAAGGTCCATATTCCTTTTAACTCATAGAGTCAGCCAGGTATCCTGGGGGTTTAAGTTCCCATACGGGACTTGTCTCATTACAACTGTTTTCTGAGGGCGTTACTGACAATGCCAAACAAAGCCAAGGGCTCTCAAGAGGGCGCTGAACATAGCCATGTTGCTAGAAAGTGAGTGATTTATAATCTGCACCCATGTCCATATGCATAAAGATGGAGCCGCACCAATTTAGATCCTCCTGCTGCACCCGTCTATGACAGCTGGTCATCATGCTTTAGAAACTGGCCCCGAACCGAGATCCACGAGCCTAAGATAGCAAAAAAGAGGGGACAACCCCATCCAGTGGTAGATGGATGGAAATCGAGGGTGTACTATGTCTCTAGCTACCTACGGCGTCACCATGGAAAAAATGTCTTTGTGAACATGAGGTAATGTTTAGGGTCCATGCTAAACCTTCTAAATACTAGGGGAAGATACAAAGAATAATAATCATCTAACAAGATTACTCTTCCATGGATTAGATCGGCGAGTATTCAGAGTTGGAAAATTAAGATAAACGGTCTAAATATATTGCACAATGTCGATAAACAAAATTTTGCAAATTTTCTCACGCCTATTGTGAAGACTTATCAAGGATGGCATATGAATATCTTCTTTAGTGGTTGTAGGCAGGTGACAGATCTAGTGGTTTCACAGAGTTATTTCAAGTGACAACGTCAATTGCAAAACTCACGATATCATTTAAAAAAATTATATGCAAGTTAGTTTCTTGTGATGGAGAGAAAAACCTGGAGCATTACACGAAATATTGTTGAAGAGATCTTATTTTTAATCCGTTAGTAAGATCATGATCTTCCTGTTGTAGGACCAGGGTAGGATTGATAAATCGTTCATAGTTCAAGTAATGGCTTTGTCAACATCAATTTGTAATATAGATGATGATGAGAGACAATATAGTTAGCATTGGAGTGATTCTAAATATCTATTCAAATTCAGTTATACTTTAGTGAGATTGAGGATCTTAAATAGTGTCTTGGATGGAAAAACAATGGAGATTGTAGAGCTTTATGAAGTCTTCTTTTTTATTATTTCTGGGTTAACTTAGTTTTCATAATTATTATTTCACATGAATTTTCATAGCTGAGTAATTTTTTATAATATACCTCGTGATACAATCTGGAGCCATGACCAAATAAACTCTATATTTAATTTTATTTTATTGTGTTGGTTTTTGCAACTATATTAATAATATATTTTTCACTATGTTATTTTTATATTTACTACTACATACTAATGGTATAATTTCCATTGTCTTGTTGGTTAACAAATGTATCAAAATAAGCCAAGTTCTTTCAAATATATGATTGTAATAGGTATTGATCTCTTCAATTATCAACCCGTTAAATTATATGGGGCTATGTACATTAACTTTGACATAGTAGTTACTTTATTATACTAGTTGAGAGAGGTATCACTCTTCATCTTATGATGTAATGCAATTTATCAATAGGTTTATACTTCTCTTTAAGATAGAGTTAATGCAGTCCATAGACAAAAATAATAATAAGTTATGCTTCTTGAATCTTCATATGTTTCGTTGTAAAAATATTGACTTAGAAAGTTTGTATATACTGGATGAAATTGGCTTTCTTATCAAAATCTGATGATATTGAAGCATATCTTATATTATTTAGTTTGATTTCATCCATGTACTAAGTAATGAGTTTTAATGTAAATTCTTTATAGTTTTACTTTGTGTTTCATGCATATCACTCTTCTACACATTCGTGTCTCTTCTAGGATGAACTGCTCATTAATTGACTCTCCGGCTTGTAGACAACCATTGAAACATGTCTTTCATTTATAATGTGTTTTAACATATATTTGTCACGCAAGGAGGGAGTAGACGAAGAAGGACGGACAACGTAGCAGTATCTTCGTTAGTCAAGATTGATTCCGATCTACACATCATGTTTCGCTGGACGCTTTTGCACAAGTTTATATCTGAGCGAAGAATGATGCACATGCAATTGCAAATCAAGACCACGCACATAAAATGAAAAAACGAAAGAGTAAGAAAGACAAGTGAGGATTGAAAGTGATTATTGGCAACAAGCTGGTCCGACAATGGAAGACAAACAGATTTTTTAAAAGAAAATATAAACATATAAGCAAGTTGGTCCTTGAGAGACAGATCACGTTGCGTCTTCTTTGCTGTAACGAGGCCAAATCTGAGGTTAGCCATGAAAACAAGGTGTGTTTTCATCATGTGGATACGTAGGAGGTATTATGGGATTGTGATAGGCATGAGGTACGTGTTATTGTTCCGGTTGGCTTTTGGTGGACATACGGACCCTACCCATCATGTAAAGCAAAGCAAAGCACAGGCAACAAAAGCTCATTAGAATGTAGCAAAAAGCGAAGTTCGTTTTTATAACAGTGTTGACATGGAAGACACGAGGCAATGACGTGCAATGTCGAGGAGAAAAACCTAGCCGAAACCAAAGGTACAAGGTTGATCACCTGCTGGCCAAAAAGCATACTGGCCTGCAGGTGATCAATCACCAAAAGAAAGACCAAGAAAGAAGCAAACAAAGAAAAAAGGCTCAATTATAAGCGAAGACCCGTTACAATGCAACACCATGAATAATTAAGAATGATAATACAGAGACAAGTAGAGGCAAGGAGATTTCAGTGATTTGAAATTACGACTTAAGATATGAAGCGTTACAATGCAACACCATGAACATTTAAGAATGGTAATACAGAGACAAGTAAAGACGAGGAGATTTTAGTAACTTGGAGTTACGACTTGGGATATGAAGCGTTGATTGAGATACCTGAGAGTCGAATGGAAAGCGGCATTTAGCCTAACCATACAAGGCACAAGCAGCTTATTAACATTTTCTATGGCGAGGCTTACTGGTACTTGAAGTAATTGTTTAAACATTGAGAAAAGAACCTCCTCTGCCACACACTTCTTTCATTTATCACTTGCTACCACATACAGAATGCCTAATAACGAGCATCTACATGGTAAAGATGAATAAATTCATTCTCTCAAGCTGATGATCTTTACGTCAATTTATTAGCAACTAAGTGAAAGATTACAACATAGTCTTTCAGACTCCAGCAAGTTTTTCAAATATTGAACTACATAATTCCAAATTTTAAAAAATGAATGTCTTCACCAATAGTTTGAATATAGTAGCCAATTCAAGTTGTAGCAAATATGGTTCTTTAAAGGTTAGTTTGACTATTCAATCTTGAAAAGTAGGATGTGTGGTAGTGTAGTTATACAGCTTTTAAGTATACTTGATTTTTTTTTTCTTATATGCTCTCTTGCACATCCATATATGTATTTCACTTTCACACTGATTTTACATATTTGGCCTGTCGTATTTTCTATCATTGTCCTTATGATAGAGGTGGCTTTTCGAGAAAAAAGAGGTGACATGTACGTTGTATAGACTTTTAGAGAAAGTACCATTGACTGAGTAATCTCATTAAGAAATCCTCGAACGGAATACCCATCTTGGAAGGTTTTCCTCCCTCCCTGTAGTTGGTGCCTTCATCGGCCTTTTTCGGCAATCGTTCGGATCCTTTCTGCCATCAGATAGAATCCCATGAAACTAAACAGGTTTCCGATAAAAAATCCAGAAATTATAAACGAAAGTCGGAGACAGATGGAATAAACAGGACAAGAGCTCATGAAAAGCTCATGGTCAAGAGTACAAAGAAGAGGGAGACCGAGACCAAGAAGAAAGTCATGCTCCAGCGTGGCAAAGGATGCAGAGATAGCTCATCTTCCATGACACAAAGTTGGTTCTGCTTAAGGTTCCGTTGGTGATCAATTGTTCCTACGGTACCGCATTTCATCAAAATGTTTGTCTGTTGGTTGCCCTCTCCACAACCGGATGTTGCAGTTCTTTAGTGCATGCGTCCGCGTTGGCTTTGGGAGTCAATTTTCCCCCTCTGAACCTTTGCTGCCCTAACTGGTATTTTAAACATTTTATGTGTGATAGGTCAATGCACGAAGAGGAAACAAGCTGTAAGGCTCTCAACCCGTACTCGGGTGCCCTCGCCGTAAGGAGATCCCCACTTACTGGTAAAACCAGCTAGACAGATATTATTGACTATATTTAATTGAAGGTACCGGATCCGGAATACTGGAAGCGACCGATGAGGGAGCTTTAAAATAATTTCCAGACAGTTGGAAGCAGTTGCATGGACCGATCGAGCGTAGATGGAAGTCGATAGAATGCACTCGGTGTAGGGTCGCAGGGCGATCGATCAGCGGAAGCGCTTTCTTAATTGAGCTTGCGGGAGAAATCGATCGGTCGTGCAGTGTGATGGTGGAGCAGCCGCGAGCAGACGAGAATCTAAGGGAAGATGTTGCGGGAAGATAACACGGGAGCGGAGTTGATACTCCCCCGAGCGGCGCAGTGGGAACTCCCGCCTGCATCCCGACGTGGACGCCGCACCAAACTCACACTCTCCCGTCGCCGTTTGTTGGATGGGATCGGACAGCCTGGAGAGCAGAATGGACAGGCTGTCGCCCGCCCGCCCCATGTTCCAGATTGTACCGAACGCTGAGGAACCGGAAGGACGGACGCTCTGCCCTCGCCCCGCTCGGCCTCCCGTATTGGTCGAGACTGTACGATCCTCTCGGCGTCCCACTGGCCTACCGTAGATTCGTCTCGTCGCGGCCCGTTCCGTCCCGTCCGAGTCAGTCTCTTCTTCTACATACGCGGTCAGCACCCGCCAGCCAGCCAGCGAGCCAGCCACCACCTCCACCACCTGCGATAGCGAGGACAGCTGGGCAGCGGGAGCCAGACAGCGGAGACAAAAACGAGACGACGAAGGTCAGACTACTGCTGTAACTCGTAAGTACAGAAGTCGTTTACCCGGTATCCCAACGTGGCCCGGCCGCGATGTTACACTGCCGCACAACCGGTTAAGACTTTTACGCAGTTGCAGCGCAGGGCCGGGGGACGGGGGACCTTCAACGAAGCGCGAGGCTGATGACTGGATGGAAAGCGCCGAGTGGACGGGAGGTATAAACCCGCTGCTGGCTCCGGACGAGGCCGCTGTGCTCTTTTGCGAAGGGCATCTCCAGAGCTATTCGACTTAGAACTAGCGAGCGGAGGTGGGCTTTCCGGAGAAGCGCAAGAGCAAGAGAGCAGCTATTCGAAGTGAAGTGAGGTGCAGTGAAGCCGAGCGAACTGAAGCGAGACGCGAAGCGAGGAAGAGCGAGGAGCGATCAAACGTACGATCATCGAACGCACGCACGCACGCGCTAACGTTTGAGCAGGGCAGGCAGTCAGGGAGAGAGAGGGAGGGAGGGACATTGCGCGCGAGAGAGAGAGAGAGAGTGACGGAGAGGAACACACACACACACAGACGCACTTTGAGTTATTTGCACCAGGAGTAATAGCTGAACGTATCGTGATCGAGAGCGCGAGAGAGGAAAGGTCGTAGCAATAGGGAGAGACGAGAGGGAGAGGGCGAGGTAAGGAGAGGAGAACACGAACAGGATTATACAACAGATTATATGAACAACATTGATCGAGGAGAGAAGAGCGAGGTGAGAGAAGCGGCGGAACAAGAAGACGAGTAGGCGCGCGAGGCCGGGCCAGACGCGCGGGGGTCAGTTAGCGGCGAGAGCTAGCTGGCTGGCTGAGACGCGGCAGGCGGGCGAGCGGGCGGGCCGTTGAATGAGAGGGAGGGAATAAGAAGAAGCGGGAGCCAGCGTAATCGCCGAGAGTGTGTATGAAGTGGTGACGGGAGCGAGGCGAGGTGGGAGTAAGCGCTTTTTGTGAGTTGAGACAGTCCGAGCGCCGCGCAAGGATGGTTGAGACGAGCAGATTGAGAGTGCTCACCAAGCCGAAGAAGCAGGAGGTGGCAGTGCCGGATTTCTTCCGATGTCCGATATCGCTGGAGCTGATGCGAGATCCAGTGACGTTGTGTACAGGGCAGACTTACGACCGGTACAGTATTGAGAAATGGTTCGAGAAGGGCCACAACACCTGCCCGTCGACCATGCAGGTTTTGGACAGCACGGAGTTAGTGCCGAATCACACATTGAGGAGATTGATTCAAGATTGGTGCGTTTCAAATCGGTGTAATGGCGTAGAGCGAATCCCCACCCCCAAGCAACCAGCGGAGCCTCGGCAAGTGAAGCAGATGTTGCAAGACGTTGCAATGGGCAGAGATTCTTACGGAGTCCTAAGGAAGTTAAGGAATATAGCCAAGGAGTCGGATAGGAACAGGAGGGTGATCTCGGATGCTGGTGCGATTCCAGTTTTAGGCAACTTCGTCTTTTCGCCTGATAGCTTAGGTAAAAATTTGGAAGCATGCGAAGAGGCGCTCGGTATTTTGGCTGTCCTACCTCTGCAGAATATGACCAGGAAGCTCTTCTATGTTGGGCCCAAGCAACTCACGGCCCTCTCGTGGTTGCTCTGTAGGGGAAGTTTAGATGGTAGAATAAACGCGGCTCTGCTACTGGCCAGCCTCGCCACTGACGACGAAATGAAATTGTCAGTTGGTGCCACTGCCGGAGTTTTTGAGGGGCTTGTCAAGCTGTTAAAGGAGGATTCGTACGCCCGAGCTATCAAGGCCGGCCTCAAGGCTTTCCTTGCCATCTGCGGTCCGAAGAAGAACAGGGTTAAAGCTGTGGAAGCCGGAGTTGTGTCCGCCATCGTCGAACTTCTGCCCGAGGCTGAGAGGAGCAACACGGAGCGCGCCCTGACGTTGATGGAACTGCTATGTACGTGTGCGGACGGGAGAACCGCAGTAAGTGCACATGCTCTCGCTGTGCCTGTCCTGGTGAGGATTATTCTCAGAGTATCAGACTGTGCAACCGAGCACGCCATCTCTTGCCTGTGGGCTGTGTGCCAACACGCCCCGAAGGAGTGTGTCGACGAAGCGGCCGTGCAAGCTGGTATCTTAACACAATTGCTGCATTTGATTCAAGTGGAGAGCAACTCTAGGACGAAGCAAAAAGCGACAGAGCTCCTGAGGCAGCTGAGACACAGGTGGAAGAATTGCGATCACCGGCAGATTGGTAGCCTTGCCAAGTTTTAAAATTAGTAGGACGTACATAATTATACTCTAATTCATTCAATTCTGTAGTTAGCATCCCAGGTCCCACGATCTCTTCTTTAGTCAATCTTCAGGTATATTCAGATGCCTGTCACATTCTAGCAATTACTTGGGAGGTTGTGAGACCGCGATTGTGATGATGCTTCTCATCTGAAATTTCCACCACTTCTGCCACTTCGACTCGATGACACCCCGGCACGGTGCCGCCAACAACGACAAAGGTGCTCCATTCCAACAACGGAGGCAAATTGCAGCCAATTTTTGTACCATAGTAGCACAAAAACGACAGACAATTCTTTCAGAGGGCAATCAAGGCCCCTTTTATGAAACCGTAAAAAAACCGAACCAATAATGACCCTGTAAATGCCAATGCGAGGGTAGATACTCTTGATCCATGAAACCACAATCGGTTCAAGATTGGAGTGGAGCTCAGCGTGTGAAATGATCTTGTTGAGTTTTAGTTGAGAAGTCGACTTTGATTGTTCTTGTGATCTTTCAATTACCAATAAAGGAGGGGGACCTCCAAAACAGGAGTGGTCCATTGTGCGGATTTCTTTCTCACTATGTTCTCGATTTCAACTTGTCCACTGCTTCATTGTGTTTCTGAGCATCGAGGAGTTTTGTTGATTCCGCAACTGGTCTTATTTCAACGCTGACGCTCTACCGAATGCAGGAAATTGCGCATTTTCCTTTGGTCTCATGCACGGACGACGATCTTGTCTGAGACTCGAATGTTGCTCTGATTGCATGTATTGTGTTCACAATGTGTTTTTTGTTTAGAAATTGTGATCTGAGGAGGTCAGTTATGTCAACATAATCGATGTCAGAACTGTGTCAGTCACACCTGTATTTGGCGCTGATGATTTCAAGAGTAACCTGGGCATAGTTCTCGATTTCTTCGACTGTTGCAAACCTTGAATGCAGAGGAGATCTCCCGCTGCACAAAGGTGCAGCGGTAGCTTTCGCCGTATGTTTCGTCGATGCCATGATGGCTAGTGCGGACGGTCGAAATCATGTTTTCCTTCGTGTTAGTCGTTGAATGAAGAAGGAAGGAGTCGGTCCACAGCTTGAACGATCCGTTTCACGTCTGGGCCTCAGGTGAACAATTCCTTGAGCTGAACAGTGCTCCTGTTGTTTTTGGTTGGTATGGTCTTGTGACGAGGTTTTCCCGATGTTTCGATTTAATATTGCTACTGATACTCCACAGACAGAAGCTCATGTAGTAGATACAGTGACAGAAGACCCATGTAGGGTCAGAGGGCTAGTGGGACAGGGCGTTGGTTACGAAGAGTCTGGACTTGCATCCTCCGTGAGATTTGACACCCGGAGCCAAAGCGATTGTGTGGGAGCCCACACGAGAGTCACACGAACTTTCCTTCCACTTTCGGAAAAAGAATTATTATTGGGAAGGGAAATAGTACATTAGGGCTTGCGGTGTCCACGGACGTGACGGGCGAATGAACGAAGGTGTGTGATGATGTTGTGATACCTTAAGGTCGGGGGAGATGGATGTGTGAGCGAGACTGTGAACGGTTTTGTCTAGAACGGGAAGACGAGAGCCATAGGTCATGCGCTTGACCAGTTCAAAACGGTATTCTCTGTTGTTTTGCGCAATGATGATGTGCGTAGTAACGCACATCATCCGGCCCCCTCGCACTCCCTCCGCCCGCACCCATTCGACCATTACCATAGGGTGAATCGCCTCTCGCCACCACCTTGCGAGCTCTCTCGGCTTCTCTCGCCCTTTTTACACTTTTCTTGACCCGGCATAGATCTCGCTTCACCACCTTGAGTGCTAGGGTATATGATTTTCACGGTTTACAAGACTCCGTGTTTTCTCGTTCCGCCATCATCATCATCATCGAGAACGAATCAGGCTGCCCCACCACCCGCACCCTCGCGATTTCGAACTCATACAGTCTAATCATGTCATGTCCCACCCCCCGCCTCCCTGCGGCCCTCCGTCCCTCCGACCATCGGTCATGCCCATCCCAGCCATCCCATCGCCCCCTCAGACCCGAGATCAACCGGGCCAGCCAGCCAGCCAGCCAGCCGTCTGCCCCGATCGATCGATCGCAAGACGCAGCAGCTCCAGTGAGAGAATTGAAGTGCTTCCAGCTTTTTGAATTTCTCTCGTCCCCCACCACCCTCCGCCCTCCGCCAGTGAGAGTTATTGGAAGTGGACCTCTCAGTGGTGCCAGGCCCACGGCAGCCTACCCATAGCCTCTGCCCCGCCCTGCCCTGGCGCTGTGTGTGTATGTTTCTTGCTTAGTTGGAGGTCACCAGCGGAGCGGCGGAGCAAGAGCCCACAACCTCTCTCTCCAGTTTGTGCTGTATCCTCCCTCTGCGGCGGGCTCGCTCCATCGACACATGGCCAGGAGGAAGAGAATAGTTCAGATTTGTGGTCAACAACAAATCTATTACTACAAATCTGCAGTACTCCGTCTCCTTCGCAGTCCTCCTCCTCCTCCGCAACAAAAGGGGCGAGCCGTAAAATACTGTCACTCCCTAATAATTCTACGATTTTTAACTTCTACCTCCTTCGGTCAAACCATACTCGACCCGATACATTAGCGTCGCTGCGCAGAGAAAGGGTTTAATTATACACACAACTGCGGTGGTGCTGTGCAGTGCAGGCCCCGTTGGTTGGGTCGGGTCTAGCCTAGCCTAGCCCCTAGCCAAGCTTAGCTTAGCCTTAGCTGACTGACGCTGCACTTTCGCAGTCGTGACATGTCTCGGTTCCCTCTCTCGCAGCACTCCTGCTGCCACTGTTGCTTTTCCTTCTTTAATCTGGGGCACTTACTCCATCGCCCGGGGTTACTTTCGACTCGTCGTTTCGAGATTATTATGCGTGACACGTCTTTTACTCGAGCAGAATGATCTGTCTCCTGAATGATCTGTCTCTCTGATCCGAATGGATGAGGCGAGATCTGCCGAAGGATCACGAGATTCATTATAAGCCTGCCCGGGGGACATAGTTTACTGTTGAGTTTCTTCTTTTTTCTGCTTTTCTTCACTTTTCTTGGTTTTGTCCAGCGATCAAGACCGAAAAGAAGACACTCGGTAATCCATGTTTTACTATGTTATACAACTGTGCTCAGACGAGGTCCATGAACATGAATGGTGGGCAAATATGCAAGAGCTTGTTAAAGCTGCTAGGCTCTGGATTTGCATTGTCAGGTACAGATGTCTTCGATGTTGTCCTCTTACGTTTGGCTGATGAAGGGAGAATCCGAGAGGCATGTGTTGCCTCCTCTTATGCAGGAATGGCTTTGAAGATTGCAAAGAGAAACTTTTACTGATCGCGGAGGGTTTTCAGATAACACTTTCTCTTCGTGATTGATTTCACAATTTTCTCTCCGCACTGTTTGAAGAGCCCCAATGATCTCTTGTTTATGTATATCCTCGGTCTTTTCCTGGGTGATTCCCTCATGGAACTTAAGAGCCAGAAAGGTGAGAAAAAGCTTCATAAAATTTCCCTCGCACTCGCGAGAGGAATGGATCTAGAGTACTTTAGAAGTTTCTCTCCCTGGACAGAAGAAGAAAGCCCTTCCTACGGAAAGGAGTATAGAAACAGGTGTTGACATCCAAGCGATTAAAGAATTCTCACTGCAGTAAGATGTGAACGTCACAACAGATCATGTTTTTTTTCCTCCTTTCCTCACGACTTTTCGATTCTTTTCCATTCTCGTTTTGCCACAGCAACAACACATGGAGCATAAAGGGGAGGCAAGGCTCGCCCCGCTTTCTTGCAAATGGGCTCCAAAGTCAAAGTGTCTGTCTATCTGTCTTTGAGTGCGGACGAAATGTTTACAATGACCGAGACAATTTTCTTGCCACCGATCATTTCAGCATCCAGATGCTTCCATTTCTCCTCGTCTCGTCTCGTCTCCCCAGAATCTTGCTCGCCCAAGGTCTTTCGCTGAGTCGTTATGAGGTCACGAATGACGGCCACGTCCTCCACATGAGCACCTAAATGTCGTTCGACGCTCACTCCATCGACCCAAAATCATCTGAATGCTCGCTCCCGGGGCTACAGAAGTAGCAAACGCGACTTCGATGTACCCCATCGACGACGACAATGAAGTCATCTCAACGCCTCCCAAGCGGCCACGTATGCCCCACGGCGCTATTGTCCATATTATCGAAAGATTGATTTTGGGATTTACAAGTTCCATACACGTCAAGAAAGAACGACATGTCCTTTGGAATGGAGCCGGGATGCAATTTGATGTCATCCCAACGAGTGGGAATGACACGTGGGAAGTCCAGCGTGCGAATGTGGTTTCTCATTGAAAGCCGATGAGGACACCTCGCCAGATACACATCCACGTCGGAACAAGCACCCTCCCATTTTTCGTCAGGAACGTGCACAGATTCAATTAAAAGGGGCCCGGCTCGTGAAATTCCCTACTCTATCGACGAAATCGTCCGATCTACGCCTGACGTCCACGTTTCGTCCTCAGCCACCATGATGGAGGAAAGCAACAGAGCCATTTCCGTAGACTTTCGCTTCATTTGGGCTGTATAACATGCCTCCCTCCTTTTCCTCCTTTCCCCCTTCCTTCCTTCCTTCCTTGCCTTTGCTTTGCTGTGCTTTCTCCGTGGCTGAGTCGGCTGACGACCTGGCAAACAGACGGACGTTGGAGTCTTCTGTAAGTCTTTGACCGACACTTCTTCGTTCTGGATACGGAAGGGATACGGAAGTTCCCCGTCCGTCGAGTTTGGATGAAATTTTCAGCACGTCAGCCCAAAAGGCATCCACGGCTTTTCGTTGGTGCGTTCTTTCGATGCTTCCTTCCTTCCTTCCTTCCTGACTTCTAAAGCGCGCGTCTGGGGGAGCGGCTGAGGGAGCGGAATCAGAGGAAGACAATGAAGGCTATGGCCGTGTGTGACGTCAGGGAGGACAAGGCCTACAAGAAAGTCGCGGGTCCAACTCGTCGGGTTATCGTGATGGCGAGGGAGGCGATTGGCATGGCGAGGAGGGGTTTCGATATTGGAGCTGGATGGTGGTCGCCAGGGCGTTTGTTTCTTGTTTTTTCGTTCTTTGACGTCGGAAGCTGTTGATCTCATCGACGGTCTGACCTTGCCAGGCAAGGTCAGACAGTCGTCGTGAGCCTTTGCAAAAGGCGTCCATATCTTCGGGGAGAAGAATTCGTCCTGGATCGATATCGGCACCTGGAAGGCCCCGGAAAGTCCTCGTCGCTGCTTCAAGTCGTTGTCCTGAAGTGTATGTCCGGATCATATGAAGCGAGTTTCGACCGAATTCGCTCCACATACCCGATCAATCCACATATCCATGTCGTGTTCTTATCTTAATAGCTCTTACTCCTGTCTTCAGATGCCCAACCACGTTCATCTTGTTTAGTGCTATTTGGGGACCTGTGAAACTTGCACTGGGTGTTTTGTTGAGTCGCAAGTCAAACATAGACAGCGAGAGGGTTCTAATGCCAACATGAAGGAACTGCAATGTTCCGGTAGAAAGTAATATCCAGTCTCCAGTTTTCTCCTTGTATGTAATCAATATATGCTTTGCTTTTTTCATTCTTTTAATACCTGCTTTAATCAATATTTTCTATTGAACAACCAGAAAACAAGTAAATTGAGATGATCGATTCGTCAAAGATGGTCCACTTTACAACTGTCTTGTATTCATTCAGCAGATTACTCTGTAGCTCTTGTTGCGTCTGGAGAATGTTTGACTTGCAGACATTGCGGTTCAAACCGGTTCTCTAGCATTTTCACTTGGATCTCATTTGGTATTGCAAGATCCAGAGTTATAGTAAGACAGTTACTGATCTGGACTGTAATAAATTGTTAATAACTATTCAACATATCCTGTTTCATCTCAACGTGATAAATCAACAATAATATTTAGGTTTCAAAGAATATGGCTTTGTTGTGATTGATTGAAATTGAAATGTAGATACTCAAACTAGTTAGCACTCGATGCATTATGATTTACCTTCATGCCATGGCTAACTACGAATGTTATACTAAAAATTTGAGAAATTCGTTAGAAAGCTTCTCGAATGTTATGTTTCATCAAACTTGTCAAACAACCACTTCTCACATGATCAATTTAAAAAATTGCGTTCCAATGATCTACATTGATATTATAATTCTAATGACAATGTCATGGATACCTATATTACCTTAAGTTCTATGTGTTCGTTAAGATATACAATTAAGAAAGTTAACAAGTTTATTTTCACATTCACATCTTTTAGATCAAGATTAACATTGATTCAGAAGTAGTCTACTTTAGATATAAAGTTCAACTGTATTGACTTACAAATAAACATTCTGTTTCAAGTAGTCAACATAAGATATATTTATGATTGTCTATGATTACAAAGTTATGATATAATCAAATAAATATTCATTAATCAACTAAACCTTTATAATTTTAACTTTGTAATGATTTTCAAATAATAACAATAATTAAAAAATAAAACTTTAATTATCAATTAGATATTTCATCATGCCTTGAAATTTTATATCTAATCTTTGCAAAAAATAAAAAATATCATAATTTGAAAACCTGAAATTTTATTTTTTTTGAAATTTAATTTGAATTACTAAAAAAATTGTGTTTGTACAGATAGAAAGTGATTTATAAGATTGATGGATTATTAATGAAACAAGAGTAATTAGTCATGACTTTATTTTAAGATTTTATTTGCAAAATGTATACCAAAAAAATTGTATATTGACTATTAAAATTGATTTGAGTTGCATAGATTTTCATTTGATATAAATATTATACATGATAATAAACTAGATTATCCATACAACACATTAATTTTTCCCTTGATCTTTTATGTTGATGATGAGTGCAGCTGCAACAGAACAAACAATAAATAAAAAATATGTGAGACAGATTTTTTATTTTTAGCCTTGTTTCCTTAAAAAACTTTGAAGGACTTTTTTACTTTTATCTCCTCATGTCTTACGTTCTTCATTCATGGTTTTTCAAAAGTAAAATAGGTGATTGAATGGTTTTATATTTCATATCAACTTCAGTTAATTTTGATCAAACTAGTAATTAGATATTAAATACTTTCATCCACTGGATATCCTACGATGATCATATCTGATAATATTTATTTCTTGAATCTTTATCAACATATTTCTCCTAAATTATAATTTAATCTGGATGCTTAGCATGAAGTGCTCTTTATTCTAAACTTAAATATTCTGTCGTCTCATCATTGCTGAAAATTATGCATTTCATTATCTACTCTAGTTCCCAAATCACAACACAATAATGGTATCTGATGTTTATTATGATGATTAAAATTATATAGATAATTTGAGATTATTAGCTCAATAATCTTGCAAAACTGTTCATTTTTCATTCGGATATTACTGGAGCCTATCACCATCCCATCCTTATGTCCTTTGCAACCACTTTTTGAAATTTCATGTTCAGACTCAGGACTCACAAAGATTAGAATTCACCATTTAGTTGGTTCAAGGTCAGATGAACAATAATTAGTGAATGTTACTTGGTCAAGATTACATTAGTGTTGCTGTACCTTTGGTAGAAATCTTGTTCCAAAGGTTTGTTTTTCACTCGCTGAGGAGTAAAAACAAAGTGGAGCGTTCGTGTCTCCAAGACTTTCCAAGACTTTGCACGCCTGCTAAATACATCGCGAATGCAATCAGAAAGTATGACAGCTAGATCATCCTCAAAAGCTTATCCATGTTTATGCTGGTAGAGATACGTGATCATCTCTCTCCTTTTTTTACTTTGGAGGTTGATAAATATTTTTCAGGAGAAAAAGCCCAATTTAGCAGTTTTTACTATGTCATCTTGTTGCCAGTCTTTCTAATGATTTTGCAGTGCAGCGTGCGCAAACTCAAGTTGAATCCATTAGAGCAGTGTTTGATGGTAATTCGAGCTATTCCGTGAGTCAAACCTGCACTCAGCCAATAGCTCCTCCAGCGCATGGCGATTTGCGTTGAGTTCCAATATTAGCTCTTCCAGTATATTCCAAAAAAAGTAACTTTTCCAACTTGTCAACTTAACCATTTCATAGCTACGGTCCAAATGACGTGAATATGTATTTTTTTGTAGCTGAATATCCTTGCATCTTTTCTTTCATTTTCCTTGATGTTTGAATTTTGGGATCTCATAATTCCTCGCTTCCTTCCTTTATTTAACTCTCTTAATGTAACACTTGTCGTGCCAGGTTCTTCTTTCAAAGTATCACGAAGGAAAAGAATAGAATGCTTCATCATTAATATTATCAGATGCTGCACTCTTTATTAATGGACGATGATTAAAACTACGCGTAGATTTTCCCAGATTCCAGCAATATCATAGTAGAAAAAGGTCCTGCAACATACAGCATACACATATGTGAGTTTAGCCACGTTCTGATTAAAATCCTCCGGAAATGTTAGCTACCCTCTTTTGGAGCTTGGCCGGTTCTGGCTTCCACTTTTCCACTATTTGGGAAAAAATAATCTCATCTTTGGCATCGCTTAAAGTATGAATAATGTTAACATGTCGATTAAAATAATGGGTAATATTTTAGTTTTTTTCAAGATTTGTTTGCTGTTCTGAAGGTTTGTTCTTAGGAGTAAACATTTCACTAGATGCTTTCTGTGTTAGTGCTCGACTGCTCATTAATTCTCACACGTTGGCAGCTGTCAGAAGACTCGGAAACCACATCCATCGAGCATCACGAGATAGAGGAGAGATCCGGCGAAAAGCACCAGTCACATATTCGGTTCTGAAAAATCGACAAAGATTAGAGCTCGTTGGAGGTGCCAGAACGTGAAATTATTCTCGCAGGTGCAGGAGGTAGACAACGTTCGTAGCAGTCAAAATAGGGTTCGGATATCGAAGAAGTGAGAAAAACAAAACCTTCTAGGACTGCATGTGAGTCCGTCCCTAGCCTCAGAAAGAAGATCGCATGTCAGGGTTGCCTCTGGCTCCTCCTCAATCCAAGGACTGCAGGACCAGGTAAATATCAGGCAATCATACAACACCACGCCAAACAGCCAAACTGCCAAACTCCAACGAGAGAAAGGAAGAAAAGCATCCATGTATGCCAGGATGTGTTAGCGTAACCATACAAACCCTAGATGGAGTCAAACAAATGCAAAGTCGAACGTAATTATTAAAAACAATGTCACAGCATTGATGAAGAGAGTCAGACGACAGCGACAATCGAGTATAAAAGCAAGTAAAAGTACACCGGGACAGAAAATGTTCCGGTATTTGTATAAACGGTTGCGCTCTCGAAAGATAACAGAAAACCTCCGCAACCCAAATCCCTGAAACCCATATTTCTCGCTCTCCCTCCCTCGCAACTTTAGTGAAGAATAGCATGTAATCCTCTCGAGCGTCTGGACAGCGCGACCCGAGTCTCGACTGTCGATAGACTGCGTGGCACCATGCGCGGGAGGGCGCATGCAAGCAGGAAGCGATCCCTGACCCTGAGGTCACATGGGAGACATTTTAAGAGGAAACGAACATGTGAATAAGAGGACGGTAGTTAATGAAAACCTAACAAAACAAAAGCCCATCTCGAGCTGTAGAGACTCGACACTCTCGGGGTGAGAGGTCAAACAAACAACCGTCGAATCATTTCCCGCAAGAAACAAAACACAACAAATCCGAGGCCAACCAACCGAAAGCAAAGAAAATCTTGCTAATGCTGTCCTCCTCCTCCTCCTCCTGCCGCGGAATCCCCAGCCTAACAGGTCTCCTCCTTCGAGTCCTCTCCGTAGCCTCCTTCTCCGTCGCCGCCTGGATCTGAACCTTCCGGCAATCGATCACAACCAAGGCTTGGACGTCGTAAGCCGGATTCATACAGTACGTGGCGTAGAGGGGAAATGTTATATTATTGTAGGCGGGAGAGCGTACATTGCAGTGCTGTACGCGTACAGTATAAAGCTGGGGACCCAACGGTGTCAGAACTTGCACATGCATAGGGCATCAACTGATAGGATAATTCAGATGGCGACAAACGTTGCAACTGCCGTGACATGATACCCCCAGTCCAAAAACGGCCCTCTAGCCACAGAAAGAGGAGCGGGACAGTGCATGTCGTGGGAGCACGACAAAATCCCTGTCCACGACAGATCATCTGGATACTAAATACAGGGTTTCGGCAGAGAGGAATTTCTTCTCCTCTCGTGCTGTTCTAAAATAGATCCACTGTGCGGTTTGGTTCTATTAGAGACTACAAGACTGAGAATGTAATCATGTTCTCGTCCACAAACGTTGTGTTGAAAGCAGTCATAATCAATTACCGTGATCAAATTTTAATCTGGTTCAAGGTTGTATACAAAGTTGTGTCTCAATCCACACAGGAGACTTACCAACATGACTTTTTTCCGAAGTATAACATCCTTAAGCAGCTGTGTTAATGATACTCTAGAATGAGTTTGGGGGAATAAAATTTTTTTTTCATGCCGATCGATTCTATTGTTTTGGCGGTATTAGTTGATTTAATCCATCCTTTAGAAAATGATATACTGTTTATTTCACTATCGAGATTCATTTTGTACATATCCAATGGTAGATCTACTTTTGTCTAAATCTTGTTTGTAGTAAGCATCAACTTAGCCAAACAAGGATTTGCATGATCGCATAATCCATCCAACAATAAATCATAATCCACAATATTCTTCAGATATCTCAGAATTCATTTGACTACTTCCTAGTGAACTTTCACTAGGTTCGACATGTTCACCTTACCTATTGCTATGGCAATGGGTAAGGTGAATATCAATATCAATAGCAATATCAGACCTAGTACACACCATCCAATACATGAGGTTGCATACTACTTGTTCATAGGGAACACATGACATTTTTCCTTTCTCCACAACATCTGTAGGACATTGAGATGCAAAAAGTTTAAAATGTGCTAGAAGAGTAGTCCATACTCCTTTTGAATCATCCATGTTGAAATCATCAAGTTTACGGCTTACATATTTGTCATGACTCAATCATAACTTTTTTTGTTTAAAATTTATATAAATATCCATGCATAATATCCTCTTTAACTTCCCCATATACTTCATCCGTAAATGCACACTTCAGCTTATTCTTGCATTCATCGACATTGGAATGATTCTTTGCCAAGATGAACATGTCGTCGACGTAGAGTACCAAAATGATGAGATCGTACGTATCATCATTCATCTTTTTCATGTAGACACAAGTATCATACACACTTTGTAAAAACCTTGTGTCTTCATGAACTCATCAAATTGCGTATCTCACTGCTTATGAGCAGGCCTCTCTATATAGGGCGAATTCCTTATGTTCCGTATCTCGTCAAAATAAGGAACATTTTCAGAACAAAATAAGGAACATACGGAACATGACATAAATCTGTCATGTTTTCTTTAATAAACTTTGAATTTGACGACAGTGTAATATACCTTCAAGAGAAATGGGAGTTATATTGGACCTATGAATATCTTTCTCCCATTTCAAAACTGAAAAATCACTTTCTACCGTTGCAGTATTAGGAAATGGACAAGCTAATCCTCCTACAAATTCCATAAGTCGAGGAAACCTGTTCCTTATATTCGGAGTACTCCAAGCTTCACAAAAATCAGACTGCTCAGTCAACCTACTCAAAGCATATCAAAGACGATGCTCTCTGTTTACAAAAACCAGAAGCTCTTTGTGTTCTTCCACTTCAGGCTTGAGTCCAGGTCTTGGAGGCTCTGGAGCAGAAAATGTATTCGGTTCACTCCAACGGTCCTTGAGCCAGGAGAAGGTGCATTGGGATCTGGAACTAGAAAGAAGGGATCCAACACGAAAACGAGAAAAACATGAGACGCATCTTCGCAAGCTTTATGCAGAGCAGGATTGTCGTGTAAGCGCAGCCCCTTTCGAAACCACATCAAAGAATGCTAACCATAGTGCTACTTTCTCCGACTCCGCAAAGATGCCTCGCCCGACTCACAGAAGTGCGGATTCTAATTCTTGACAATGCAAAAGGTGGCAGAATAGTCGTGCACTTTAAAACCAAAGGCATTTGCTGCACCGCCGAATTTAACCAGAAATCTTGTAAATTGATCCATCTCTCTGTAGATCATCAATTCGATTCGATTCAATTCGATAGAATTCGAATGGGAGCTTTAGTGTCTGGGAAGCAGGTCATGCTTGGCAACTCCGTGACATCTCCTTCGTGGGTGACAGCGACGGGACTGATTTCGCGAAGAGTGCACGTGGGAAGGTTATCAAAACAGGCGTTTCGATAACCTTCCCATACAGTGTCGAACGACTGTTTCGAAACGGTACCTGCAGTTTAAGTTTGTTAGTAGCGCCTCCAAAGTGAACGAGGTCATTTATGGTCCAAATACGGAACTTTAAAAAAACGAAATACGGAACTTTGACTCAAAAGTTCCGTATGTGCCGTATATAGATAGGTCTGCTTATGAGCTTGCCTCAGTACAAAAAGTGATTTCAACAATCTACAAACCAGCCTCTCATGACTTTTGATCTCAAAATCAACTGGTTGTCTCATGTAGATCTACTCATCTAAATATCTATAAAGAAAGAATGTAATCACATCAATCTGTTCCATAACAAGATTAAATATTGTGGCCAGTGCACATATTAGACGAATTGTAGCATACTTTGATACAATCGATAAAACTTTATTGTAATCCACACTCTTCTCTTGTGTGAAACCTCTAGCCATCAACCTAGATTTGAAGATTTTTGCTTCATCTCCTGCTAGATTGTCTTTCAGCTTATACAACCATTTGAAATCAATCAGTGTCTCATCTTTAGTAAGCTCAACCAACTCCCAGATCTTGTTGTCCAGTAATGACTGCATCTCTTGCTCCATATCAGCATGCCACTCAAGTTTGTTGATCAAAGCTTGAATTTCCCTATATGAAAAAAGGTTAATCTTCTTCCAATATCAACGTCATATCAACCTCATACTCAAAATCAAGATCATGATCTTTGAGAATGGAAGAGTTGGCCAATACATCAAATCTTTCAAAACCTCTATTATGACATTGTGATCTTATAGTAGGCGTGTTTGTTTGATCTATATTGTCTGATACTGTTGCAATATGCTCAACAATAACCTGCTCTTGTAGTTCATGTTACTCAAAAACTCCCTCTACATGCATCGATGTTACTTCTTGTGACATGTCATTAGTGATAGAATGATAAACTCCCCCACAACAACATTCATGAATAAAAATATCCTCTTGTAAGTACGGAAAGCCTCAAAACTCTACTCCTTTTTCAATAAGTCAGGCTCATTGAAAGAAACATTCCTATTAACAACCACTTTACGGGCAACTCAATGTCATAGACTGTAATCTTTCACTCCACTAGCACATCCAAGAAAATGACATTTCTTGGATGTAGGATCTAATTTAGTTTTATGCTTCTTAGGTGTGAGAGAACAAGTAGTACAACCAAAAATTCTCAAGCCACTAAAATCTGTCATTTGTTTATGACCCAATTCAAACGATGTTGAGAAATTGATTGCACTATAAGGGAAAAAGTTTACAAAATAAATTGCCGTGTTGATAGCTTCAACCCAAAATTCCTTTGGTAAACCTAATTCGCTCAATATGCTCCGCACCTTCTTCAACATTGTTCGATTGAGTCTTTCGAGAAAAATATTTTGTTTTGGATAAAAAAATATACCAACACATACATGGAGTAATAGTCTATAAAAAAGACATAGTACAGCTTTCAAGAGAGTGAGGCAATATGAGACAATCCCCGCATATCACTATGTACATACTACAATATCTCCGTGTAACTATGAGTTCCAACGCAAAAACTCGCTTATGTTGTTTTCTCATGATGCAATCAATGTTCACAAAATGCCAAGTCCAACTTTACCCAAACCAAGTAACAGCTTTTTCTCATCAAGAAAAGACATGTACTGATAATTCATATGGCCTAATATGAAATGTCATACATGAGACATCTCAACGCGAGATCTGGTAAAGTTAACTTATTCACAAATAGTGGTGTACACTAACAAGTACAGATTATTATGCTTGTATCTCCAAAGAATAAACTTCTTATCACATGATCAGACATCTAACACGCCATGCATATAACTCCACTCAGAACTGTGTGAGTCCAACTATCTAATAAAAATCAAGTTCTTTCTCATGTTAGATATAAACATAACATGAATCAACGTACGGTTGCCACCATCAAGCATGCGGATCTTTACAGTCCCAACACTCTCATAACTACCGGATTGGTTTTTTCTATAAGAATTGAATCGGTTGATACTGAGAAAGTACAAAAGAACTCTCTAATGTAACAAATGTGATTAAAAATTGTCCAGAATCCATACATCATGTACAACTTTTTCTTAATTGTAGAGTACATACCTCTTGCATCATAGATCGTTTGTGTACAGATCAATCTGCTCGGTATCAAGATGCTCCGCAATGTTCGCCACTTAAGGGAAATACGTACTTGTCATCCGGCAATATTTCATGATGTGGCCTTTTTTACCATATGTCTAACAAATAACATTCTTCCAGTCAAATGGCTGAGTCATAAACTGGAATCTCCTTCGCTCAGGAGATCTTGATCTCTGCCTCTTCAATCCCGAACGCCGTGAATCATTTGTATTCTTCGGTTGTGATTGATCTTGGATCATAATAAGTGATGTCCCAAAAGTGGATGGAATAAAGGGAGAGGTAACCTATCTTGCTCCACCGCGTTCGTCACAAGAACAATTACAACCTCGTTGTAAATGAGTGTCGTGTTCTGACGATGAAGAAGAATCTTTGATAGCGTCTGATTGGTAGACGTCAATGAACTGAGAAGATGACATATATCCTTTGTGTCTAAAAGCTATTTCACCATATCTCGAAGATACATCAATAGATTTCCAATAGCATGAAT